ACATCGGCGTCCATTCCGGGCCAGTAGGCGACCTGACGAGCTCGGCTCTTCGTCCTCTCCTTGCCCAGGTGTCCGTCGTGGAGGGCAGCTAGCCGCTAGGACGGCCTTGCGCAGCTCCTGTGGGATAACCAGCCTGCACCCACATACCACGAGTCCGTCATCGACAGACAGTCGGTCACGAACAGTCCAATATCTGCGGATAGATTCTGGTGTGTCATTCTTGGTCTGGGGGAACCCTTCTTCAATAGTGCGTTTCAATGACTGATACTCGGGGTCATACAGGGCAGCGCGGCGTACCTCGTCCAGCCTGACGTCGGTGCCTGACGCGTGCAGCTCTGCGGCTACGACCGCGCACACCCGGAGCGATGCGGCGTCCTCACCAACCTCGTCCCCCGGCTCAGGATCCTGGACCGGTGCTCGGGAGAGAGCGTCCGGCGCGACATGTTCAGCTCCAGCCCGCCAGCTGGCGGTGAAGACGCCAGCTTCACCGATCTTCATCCGAAGTCTCTGAAGGCGTGGGTTTTCGATCTCGTCCATCATCTTGCTGTTGAGTATCGGAACGAGAGGGCGGTGGTCAGTCAGAATCTGGAACAACGGCAGCCCGCTGAGGAAGATATGACACTTCCGCACCGCCCATGCCACACTCAAGGCCTCCAGCTCTATTACTGCGTACCTTGTCTCGGCATCGCTCAGGAAGCGTGACCCTGCTTGAATCACGCGCCAGGTGCCGTCGGGATGAGCCTGACGAAGGACGAACCCTAGCCCCCGCGCTCGGCTGGCGTCCGTCTCCAGCCGGGTTGGTAGCTTCGGGTCGTAGAAGGCGAGAGTTGGAAGAGAAGTCAGGGCGGCCTTGGCCTTGTCGAATGCCAGCTGATGGTTCTCGTCCCAGATGAACTCGCGCCGTGAGCTGAGGAGGCTGCGGAGGGGCGTCAGCAGTTCGGCTACGTCGTCCACGAAGTAAGCCACCTGGTTGACGAGCCCGAAGAAGCTCCTGACCTCAGTCAAGTTGCTGGGTGTCGGGAACTGTGAGAGGGCTTCAGTGAGCTGCGGGTCTGGTCGGTAGCCGTCCCCGGACACGATGAATCCAGCAAACTTGACAGTCTGCTGTGCCAGCTGCAGCTTGCTGGCGTTGAGAGAGACTCCCCGATCCTGGCAACGCTGCAGGAACTGCCGCACGTGCTGAAGATGCTCCGATCTGGTGCGGCTGAAGATGATCACGTCATCCACCACTTTTCTGAAGCCGGTCAGTCCCTCAAACGCCTCATCCATTCTGCGGTTGTAGTGCTCGGATATAGAGGTCACTCCGTACGGGGCCCTGAGAAACGCGAAGCGTCCGAAGGGGGTGATGAAGGTGGTCAAGAGTCTGCTGTCCTCAGCCAGAGGGCACTGATGGTACCCTTTCAGGGCGTCGAATACGGTGAACCAACGCGCCTCAGACGAACGGATGGAGGCGACTTCTTCGATCGGTGTGGGCGACTGGTACCGCTCCCGCCGAACAAACTTGTTTAGCTGAGATAGGTCCACGCATAGCCGCACACCTGCGCCTCCCTTCTTGGGCGTTACTACGATGGGGGCACACCATTCGGTGGGAGCAGTGACTCGGCAGATGACTCCCTCTGCCTCCAGTCGATCAAGTTCTGCCTTCAGTGGTTCCCGTAGGGACAGCGGGATGCGCCGAGGGGTCGTCACGCAGAACGGCCGGGCATCCTGTTGGAGGTGAATGGTAAACTTTTCCCCTGGCATCGTGCGAATGTGGCCATCAAACACTCGTTCGAACTCCGACATCAGCCGATATCGGTCAGTGTACTCACGTGACTCTGGTGAGTGGTCGCTCCCGGCAGGTCTCTGAATGCTGGTTGGGTCCTGGGCGTTCTCTAACCCTCCAGCAGGAGGCGGCGTCAGCGGGCCCGCCAGGTCGGCCGTCGTGCTGGGGTTGGCCGTTGGCGTGCAGTGGCCGACTCCAGCGGTCGGATCGGGACCCGAGCTCAGGCGGCGCTCTGCGGTGGCGGCAGTGGTGGACTCCGGCTTCCCTACCGCCGCGATCTGCCGGGGGTAGTCTGCTGGGATGAGCTTCAGGGTCCTCGTGACCTCCCAGGACAGTAGAAGTCCTCTGACTCCCGGCAGAATGTGTACCTCCTCCTCTGCTTGGATGTCCCCCAGTGCGATGGTGACCGGCAGAATCCCCACCGACGGGATGACGCTCCCATTGGTCGCGCGCGGGTGGTGCACTGGTCGGCGGAGATCCTCCCGGGACGCCCCCAGCTGTGCCAAGAGGTCCTCGCCGCCCACCGACAGGTCAGCCCCGGTGTCAGGGAGGGCGTCCACGGTCACTCTCCGGTTCCCTGCCTCCACCCGGACGGACACCCTCGGGGCTCCCTCGGCAGCGGTAGACGCGATGATCGCAGAGGTTGAGGGCCACGGCGGCCCGCCCTGGACTTGTGAGCCCGGGAACGGCCTCACCTGCGTCGATCGGCAGACGCTGGCAAAGTGGCCGACCCTCCCGCATGCGCGGCACTCCCGGCCCCGGGCGGGACAGTCGTTACCGCGCCGGTGGACGTACCCGCAGCTGGCGCAGCGGTCGCCCCCAGGAGTCGCCGGGGCAGACTGCCGCTGTGACGGTCGCCCCGTCGAGGGCTGAGCTGCGGGACCGGGCCGCCGGTCATGGACCTGCTGCGGGCCGCACACGCGACACGCCGCCGGTGGGGAGAGATCGTGATGACCTCTTGGCTGGCCCTGGTCGAAGGTCGCGTCGCGGTCCACGCAAGCGACGGTGGCGTCGGGCCCTCGGATCCTCGAGGCGTCTCGGTACGCTGCCTCCTCCGACCTGCAGAGAGATATAGCGGCGGACAGAGAGAGTTTGGGGATGGCACAGAGCTTTTGGACGGTCTCTGCCGACCTCAGACCAATAACAATACGATCCCGTATCAGTGATTCATTGCACGACGAGCAAAATTTACAAGATCGAGACAAGTCACGGAGACATGTAAGAAAATCATCAAAGGTCTCCCCCTCACCCTGAACTCTGCTGTTGAACCGCTTTCGCTCAAGGACCTCATTCACCTGGCCAATGGCGTACGTCTCTAGCTGTGCCAGCACAGCGTTGACGTCCTGTCGTTCCTCTGGAGTCAGGGGCAAGTTCCGAACGACGCGGTTCGTGTCGTCCGTCAGACACGATCGGAGGGCGGCCATCTGAGCGTTCGGCTGCATGCTGGCGATGCCGGCGAGGAGGTAAAAGTCGTCCCATCTCTCCTTCCAGGAGCGGAACGCGTCGCCCCGATCCGTCGACAGATCCAGACGGTCCGGCTGCGCGGCTCTTCCCAGCCACGATGTGTTGTTCTGTTGCGTCCCGGCCGCCGCTGTCGTCGCAGGCTGAACGGCTCCAGCCACCGCCGCCTCCTGTGCCACCTCCAGTTCTTGACGCTCGTCAGGCATTTTCAGCGTTACGTTATTTTACTGCAGGTTTACGTTAATGACCACCGACCGCGCCATGTGCTGGTCTGGCCAAAACGACAAAGTGCACAAACTCTGAATATATTGTCGGTAACAACTCCGTCACCACCCGGTGCCGACGAGGTCGCAATCACAACTCAGCGCGGAACTCCCCGCTCCGCGCGCCGTCCCGATTCCCGCCAGACTCCCAGCCGGCCCGCCGGCAGCCCCAGCCGCCGGCGCCGGGCCTCAGGCGATCACGTGATCCGTGGTCATGCCCCGCGGCCCGGGCCAGGCGAACGGAGCAGCCGGCACCGGCCGATGAGGTGCCAACCTAGTGGAGATGCAAACCCATCACAACACTGTCGATTGCTTCACTTATGATTTATGAACGCTTTTGACAAGTTTATGATCCTACTTTCTTATTGGCTCCATGTTGTTGCCGATCGCTGTTTATTTTTGTTTGTTAAATGATGTTTATCTTATTCTACCTCCTTTCGTGCTATGAAGTCTCTGCATCAGTACAGCACATCAACATATTCTAGAAAACTTTTTGCTTTTTGTGAAATTGAAGATGTGTTATCGCTCAATGTTTTAGATATTGATATTTTCGTTATGTTATAGTAAGACGGTTTGGGTATGGAAAATAGCGAACCATCCGCTACGTGCATAAAGTGTCATGTTTTTTGCCTGCGTAACAGTAAGTGCAGGCCTGTGTGCCGCGTTTTATACCGTGCTTCAGTTTGCATGACATGATACACGCCTTTTGAGTATTCATGACCGCGTCAATGAACTTGTTACACGGCTTCTGTTTATGTACGTTTATACTCCAAAGCCAGAATACCCGTGGGCCGTGTTACTCCGAGTACCAGAGAACTGCAACTGATTTTACGTCGTAAATAAAGAATGCAACAAACACATGACATATGGATGTTCCTTCCAGGCCGGATTAGGTAAACTGAACAGTGGTACAGGCGGTGTGACACAAGACTGCCGTACACGTTCCGGTTCATCAGTCGTCACTGGATGTGTCTACTGATGGTTTGATGACTATCATAATGGTGCTGTCTTATAACCATGGTCCTCAGCATAAACTGATGATCATCCACTTCCGGTTGTATAAGACTATTTCTAAGACGAATCTTGAATGTAGGCTACGAGAGCTCAGCTGTGCTCCCAGGTCCGGGGCGTGACCTGTCTTCATAACTATAGCGATATTTCGTCTCGGAACACGCCAACGAAATATTCAAATATTGTCCACTACCTACATATTGACCGTAATGCCGCAACTTATATTAAAACGGGTCCGAAGCTGAAACACTACCAAAGCTCCTCTGTGGAAGCTTCGGGGAAATGTTCGCCATGTGGCGCTATGACTTGCCTTTCGGCGAATAGAGCTAATCGCGGATCACCTCCAGTAGCCACTGATGCACACTGAATCCACCAGAGGGCTGAGCGATCACGGCGTCGGCGTCCGTGCTTACCGGGTGCAACAGAAACGCGTCCTCGCACGGTGCGGTCACTGGTGGCACCGGTTGTCGTCTGAGGCATTCGCCAGGGCAAACATCGCACACTATACAGCGAATATATTGCAACAACATGTCTCGACATAGCAGCGTACGAAAAATAAAGTTTGGCACAAGACAATCTAAGGAATTATAGATTACCATTGGTCGTAATTCGGCACAACGGACATCGAAGATAACCACATCACTCACTACTGAAAGTGGCTACCGCCCAGGACGAGACAATATCAGTATAAATTGCACTTGCCTCTCTTCCTAAAAATAGTGCTGCCAGCTCACTGGATGGCAGGAGTGAGACTTCTCCTATTATGACTTCTATTATGACTACATGCTGCCACTACGCCTGGCATGTAAAGCAACTGAGCAAACTCTCTGGCACAGACTGTTCCCATCTTCATCCACATTTGGACCCTGCGTAAAGCGTGTGGCACCACGCACCTCACATCTCCACTTTAAGTACCTACCGCAGGTACCGACGGCGATCGCTCGATTCGAGAGACCCCGTCGCCGCGCAGTTACGGGCCGACCACAACTGATCTGGTTAGTACACACGCGAACAACGGCAAGAGTATCACCGACTACGGGCCGCCGGCCTACCGACTGTGGCACCTGCACCCGTCTCCAGCTCGACTGAAAGCTCATGTCAAAAGGCAAATGGTACCCAGCAATCCGCAGTGCTAACACCAACATACTAATTCCCTTTCGGTTTCAGGTTTCATGTAGGACGACATAGCTGGAAGTAGATAATTTGATCATGTTGACAATTTGATCCTTTAAGAGGTTACTCGACGGCGTCAAAAATATTACCCACACAGCCTACAACCAGTGCGCCACTTGAGCAATTAAAACAGACTCATCAAACTAAAACCCAACGGCAAAGAATACCAGAGACAGAATACCCGACTTCGGGTGTTAGTAATAGCTACAAATGGCAGATATCGACTTGGTCACCGATCTACATAAAACCGGACCCGCACGTCAACTTCACGCATCACACAGCACTAGCTACCTATACCTCACCTACACCTCTAGCCTCTAGCGGACGACTACGGTCAGCCTGGCGCCGGTAGCGGCAGTGCGCGGTCACACCAAGTCCACCAGACCGGCCGGAACCAGGAACCGCGGCAGCTCGCACGAGAACGGCAGGCACGTGCGCCGCGTGTGGAACGGCAGGCGGTCGGCGAACACGTGCCGCACCGACACGATGCCGCGTGCCATGTGCAGCGGTTTGCCGGCCAGCAGACTGTCCGGGGGCAGCGGCCGGAGCTGGGGCGGCGCCGCGCCGGCCGGCGGGCTCGGCGTGCCCGCTCCGCTGCCCGCCTGCCAGCGGCGCTCCTCGCCCGGCGGCGACTCCAGACTGCAGACTCCCGAGTCGAGGCAGCTGACTCCCGAGTCGGCGCCGTCCGACACCATCGAGTCGGTGAGGTCACGCCGATGCCGGCGGGCCGCCTCCAGCCGGCGCCGGTAGCAGCGCTGCAGCACGGCCGCCGCGCGCTGCCGCCGCCGGCCGGCCAGCCAGGCGCGCACACACCGCTGTAGTGTGAGCGCGGCGCGCAGCCGGCGGCACTGTCTCCGCGCCAGCCAGCCGCGTGTGTGCCGCTGCAGGGTGACGGCCGCCCGCAGCCGGCCGTAGCGCCGCCGCGCCAGCCAGCCGCGCACCCAGCGCTGCACGTGCAGGGCGGCGCGCAGCCGGCGGCGGCGGCGCCAGCAGCGCTGCAGCCGACCGGCGGCGCTGCGGCGCGCCAGCTGACACAGGTCGCCCAGCCGGTACCAGGCGCCCCGCGTCAGGAACACGTGACCGGTGCCGACACGTACCCCGGGGTCGTCCGGCGTCCACCGCTCGATCGTCTGAAAACGGACACACGAAACGTCTCTGAGATATCAGGCAATATGCATGATTATGCGGCAATTATCACATTAGCTCAGTAATTCCAGGAGAGATGTTAACCGAATTGGTCTCCAATAATAACTGTGCGATATATTTGAGCTCTTATTGGCTTATGGTGCACCAGGGTTGTGCCAAAGTGGGCAACTATTTGGTGAACTAACTATTAGGAGTTCCCCTGTGCTAGCAGCTGGTTACCGGTTGGTGGCTGTTACTTGTCATACAGTTCATGCGTGATCAGTTATTTGATGGACTGTGAATTGCCAAATGGTTTGGTCAGAATGCACAGAATATAGGAGTACGCACCTGTGTGAGTAGCAGGTTGTTTGGCCGCGGCTCGGCGCGCTGCCGCAGCTCCACCAGCTCCGTGTAGCGGGCCACAAACTCGGCCGGAGTCAGACGGAACGGGAAACCAGCGGCGCTGAGCCGGGCTGTGGCCAGCACTCCGGCGGCGCGCAGCTGGCGCCGCATGTACGCGTCGGCCACCAGGCCGGGCGCGCCGGCGCCGTTGGGCCGCACGCAGCGCACAAACTGCACGTCGGAGCCGTCCAGCCGGCGCAGCAGCGCTCCCACCGACAGCTGCAGGCGCGCCAGCACCGTGTTGCGGCGGCGCGCGCCGCGCGGCGTGCCCGGCGCCGCCGCCGGCGACGGCAGCTGGCGCACTAGCCACTCCGAGCTGCCCGCCAGCAGCGCCGTCAGCGTCGCGTCCACACGGTCGCGGTTCTTGGCGACCAGCGCGCGCGCGTCGTACGACACAGGTCCGCAGAAGTGGCGCACGGTGAAGGTGTGCTCGCCGCCGGCGCCGGGGGCCGCGCAGGCGGCGCGCTGCGCCTCGGCGCTCAGCTGACTGGCCGACACCACCTGACGCAGCCCGCTGGCCTCGTCCAGCGCGCCGAACACGGACGGCGCCGGCCCGTCCAGCGCCACCAGCAGCCGGCCGTTGTCTGGGTACTCCAGCCTGGCGCCGATCAGACCCTCCTCGAGAAAGGCGGCCTCCAGCCGGCGCAGAAAAGACGCCAGGAAGAACTGTTGCAGCCGCTCGTTAGCGTAGTTGATACACAGCTGCTCCAGACTGTTGGTCTCGAGACTCTCGAACCCGGAGATGTCGAGCAGCGAGATGGCGCGCGGCGCCGCGCTGCCCGAGGCGATCTGGCCGTTGATCCACTCCACCAGCCAGCGGAACAGGCCGTCGTATAGCTCGCGCACCAGACAGTCGCGGCGCGCCAGCAACTCCTGCTCTGTTTGACAGGGCCGGCGCACCACGCTGCTGCGGCCGGCCGCCAGCTGCTGCTCCGTCAGCGTCTCGGCCAGCTGGGGCGCGCTGACACCCAGCAGCCGGGCCGCCCACTGCAGCGCCGCGTCGTCCTCCACCTCGAACTGGTCGTCTGTGCGCGCCACCACCCGCAGCCGACTGAGGTGCAGCAGGGCGGCCAGCACGGCGAACACGGCTGCGCGCTGCTCCCCGCTCAGGCCCAGCTCGGCCATCGCCGACTCGGTCACCGCGAAGTCGGTCGCGTCCGCGTCACAGGCGTGGCCCGAGAGTTCGCTGAGCGAGGCGTGCCGATCGAGTCCGAGCGCGTGCAGCGAGCCGGCCGGCAGTCCGGCCACCATTTGGTAGAAGATGTGGAAGCTGCGCTCACCGGCGCCGCGCCACATGACGCGCGTTTTCTCGAACAGGCAGGTGTGTACGGCACCGCCGCGCAGCCGGCCGCCGCCGTACTCCAGCCGGAACAGCTTGCAGAAGCGGCTGCTGTTGCCGTTGTTGGTGGTGCGCGCGTTTCCGAACGCCTCGAGCAGCGGGTTGGAGACGTTCAGCTTCTGCTCGACGGTCCGGCCGGTGCCCTGGCTGCCGCTGGCCTCCAGCTGCACCAGGTAGTGCAGCAGCCGGTGCGCCGAGAACGTCTTGCCGGCGCCGCTCTCGCCGCTGATGATGACGGTCTGGTCGGTGCCTGCCTGCAGGCCGTGGTGCGCCGTCTGCGCGATGGAATGCACGTGCGCCGGCAGCGGGCCGCGCGCTCCGTCCCGGCGCCGGATCAGCTCATTCAGCGCCGGGTCTTCGGCGCCGGCCACGTCCTCGAACGGGTTCACGGCGATCAAATTGGAGCCAGCCCATGTGTAAATGATCTTGGAGAGCAGTCTCCTTTTCAGAAACTCAATGATGCTCTCCTCCGAGACACATGGAAGCTTCCCGAGGTCGGACGTTTCGGTCATGGTGCCTAAAGTGATTGAGTTTCTGACAGCCTCGCCGTTCCTAGTGCCACCTAAAACAAACATATCATGGGAATTACAGATGAGATGTTCTTACTGCATATGCTAAATATGCCTTAACTAAATGTCTACAATTATACAAACACAAATTATGCTTAGGTACACCAAACTCAAGGCAGCATGTCTATTGCTGACATTGACATGTAAGTTGGCAAGTATGCATAAATATATCAAGAAGCCTAACAGCATGGTTTGAATGAAAAAATAAAATAAAAATTATAGTGAGTTGAAGGCGATGTTTACATATCTAAGAAAGTGGATATGTAAATTTTGAATGTATCACTTTATAGGTAGTGGATGTTATCCATGTCATTAAATTCACCAGAGCTCCATAAACACTTGGTAGCTCTAACTGACAGTTGGTTTTTAAAGCTAAAATCCAAATGAAACTAAAAAAAACAACAAGCAGATTAAAACCAATTAACTCAAGCCCAAAACAAACAAATACAGTGCAAATGCAATTAATATTTCAATATCTGGATCAGGCAGAAGGTAAAAATTGCCCTTTCCACTCTGACACTGGGCTCAAAATTGATTAAAACACATACTTTCACTTACCATATAGTGACCTAGAAAATTGTCCATATGAGCACTGACCATGAAAAACAGGTATATACTAGCAGGATTCCAGAATTTAACTTAACAAAAAATAGGCACCTAGCCTGGTATATGTATACATGGAGTAAGAATGGAAGGTTAGTAGGATGCAGGTTGGAATGGTGGGATATAGGTTGTGGGCTTAAGGTTGGTAGGTTGGTAGGTTGTAAGTTGTAGGTTAGAAGGTAGGGTTAGGTCAGGCATTGACCTCTAGAAGTCTTTTTTGGGTCAATGAGGTCAGGTTAGATTGTTTTTTTCTTCACCATAGGGGACGACGGTGAAAACCGGGCGCCTGGGGCGATTTGATCAAGGTTCGTGAAATTTACACGTGACGTTTGGCATATAGAAGGCCCTTGGAGTGGGAGAAGTTCCAAATGTCACGTGACTAATATGCCCTCCGGCGCCCTGTTTTCACCGGCGTCCACCATAGGTACTTAATCTTCACAATTCACATTTAACCCTAAAGGACCTAACCTTACCACACTCTGCAGGTGGTTAACTGTTAAGTGTAATTTATCAATATTCTATGTCAATGTAAAAAATATTGTATCAATTTGTTGTGTTTAAGCTTAGAAGGATGTGTTCTACCCTTTCATTCTTATTTTGAGAATTCCTACTGTTCTTAGAGGGTACTTACGGCTCGTACCATCGTACCTACACAAACCAGCAGCATTGAAAAAAAATCAATAGACCAATTTCAAACCTGATTTCAAATTCAATCAAACTCGAATAGGTCAGGTGGGCGCAAAATGACCTCACACTTCGCAGTCGGCGCGCCCCTAATAACCTAACCCCCAACAAACAAACTCGAATAGGTAGGTAGGTATCTACTCCAAGATTCTTACAGATAGCCTACCTAGTACCTACGATTTGTATCTGATCAGTCGGGCACACTGTGGTATTTCCGATCCATTTATGGAAACGTTTCCATTTTTGGAACAATGTTCCAAAAATGGATACGCCGTTTCCAAAAATAGAAACGATCTGTTCCATAAATGGAGACGCTGTGTGCATCGCTACCTTCACGGTTCGTCGGAAGGTCATCTCAGGCTCAAAAGAAACGACATATACCATTCGAAAGCTGACGGTGAGCTGAATCCAAAAATGTAATTTTTATCAAAATCGATCGATGGCCTTTTTTGAAAAATGCGTTTTTGTAAAAACTTAATAATCTTTTATTCAACGGGCTGTCCTGGACATTCTTGAAAACATAAACATGTATTTTTGAGTTCCAGTGAAAGCTGAATGCCAAAAGAACAATATTTAGCGAAGCAACATTTCCAAACATTAATATGCGTCTCCCACAGCCGAAAATAAGGCGCAATCACACAGCTCAGAGTCACGATGGACCAAAGTCAGCCACACAGAAGCGTGAAATGACCCTTATCGACTCGCAGACCCGGCGCTCTAGGCCCGCCTGACCGGCCACGGAAAGAACGTTCGGCTCTCGTTCTACTAAACAAATGTCATATTTGTCAGTTTAAAAGTCCACATCGCTATTAAAGTTATTCAGGATACCTGTGAAGAAAATTCATTGTTCTGTCATCCTCACATCATGCATTAATTTGCATTTTTTCATGTCTACTTTGCTCAATTGAGCTTGGTATCATGCCCATATAAGGAAAATTGGCCGCGCTGAAATGTCAGAGGCTGCACCGGCCTCAGCTCGGGTGGAGTGGGGGTAGCGCCCGGCGGGGCAGGGTAACCTTTGACCGGTCGCACGGCCGAGCAGCTGTCACCAGTACAGCCTCTGACAGTGAAACCCCGCTCACTTCCCCTGCGCGGGCACTGATCGCAGCTGGATGGAACAAAACATGCATAAGAAAAATGTAAATTAAAGCATGTTGTAAATCGAGCAGAACAATGAATTTTCTTCACAGGTATCCTGAATAACTTTAATAGCGATGTGGACAGCTAAACTGACAAATATGACATTTGTTTAGTTGAACGAGAGCCGAACGTTCTTTCCGTGACCGGTCAGGCGAGCCGAGAGCGCCGGGTCTGCGAGTCGATAAGGGTCATTTCACGCTTCTGTGTGGCTGACTTTGGTCCATCGTGACACTGAGCTGTGTGATTGCGCCTTATTTTCGGCTGTGGGAGACGCATATTAACGTTTGGAAATATTGCTTCGCTAAATATTGTTCTTTTGGCGTTCAGCTTTCACTGGAACTCAAAAATACATGTTTATGTTTTCAAGAATGTCCGGGACAGCCCGTTGAACAAAAGATTATTAAGTTTTTACAAAAACGCAATTTTCAAAAAAGGCCATCGATCGATTTTTATAAAAAATACATTTTTGGATTCAGCTCACCGTCAGCTTTCGAATGGTATATACCGTTTCTTTTGAGGCTGAGATGACCTTCCGACGAACCGTGCCTTTAAAGCAAACTGGGCATTGATTGGTGCAATTTGGCATGCGCAGGATGCCACCAATCGACAGCCAGCATTCTAGTTTATGTTCCTGTTCTCCGACTTTCCGATCAGAAAATCGAAAGTTGACGAACGAGGCGATGCTTATAACATGTTGACGTGATAAAAAATTCACAGGTTTTTCTAATCGAAAATAAAAACATTTATGAATATTTTGAACAAAAAATAACGTTTTTAACAGACTACTGAAAGACTGACCCATTGATTGGAACAACCACATCACCGGGAACTTCAGTTTTTCATTCATTATCACGCTGCGTTTTCCGGTGTACCAGCGGCCTGGTGGTCGTCAATCTTTTATTAAATCGCATGAAAGTTGTTGCAAAGCCCTATTTGGAGACTTAAGTGGGCATTTTATGATATTTCAAATGTGCTGAATATGATCGTAGGCTCGGATCAACGTAAATCTCCGTGCAAATACGTAAAAAGCAGGATGGAAATAAGGTCTGCACCGTCGTCACACCAAATACCATTGCATTCTGACGATGAATTTATTCATTCTAGCTCATGTGTAACATGGATATTAATTTTATATATTGAAATGATATCTACGCTTTATGTATTGCCCACTTTGGACCACATCTGTCCAGTAGTTTCTGGGAAATCTTAGTTTTAGTTGACTTTTGAATGTGCTCAAGTTGCGGCTCGTAAGGTATTATTATCGAACCCGGCGTCCAAGGTAACTGCCGAGAGCCGAGATGCTAAACCAGTCCAAAAACATCAAATTTTTAGTTGCATGTGAATTTTAAAAACACATTTAAGCTAAGTTTGCACACATTTGAACTTCAGCGTTTCTATTTTTGGAACATCGGCGTTTCCATTTTTGGAAACTAAGTCTCCATAAATGGATACGATTCAGGAACATTTTAAAGACGTGAATTTTAATGCATACGACAGCTTTCCATGCAAGAAGACAAGTGCTTTTGGTGTATCTGAGCTTGTTTTACGCGAAACAGTTGTTATACATCGAATCCAGCCACCCTTGGCAAGAAAATATGTGCGGAGATGTTAGCGTTTCTATTTATGGAACGAGCGTTTCCATTTTTGGAACAGAAGAGTAGTCAAAATTGGAAACGTTTCCAATAATAGAAACGTCTCCATAAATGAATCGGAGATACCACAGTGCGCCCGACTGTGATTGCCTCAAAATTCAAATTGAAATCGCCTCAGCCCACGGTACATAGAATACTAGGTAACACCGGTTTGTCCGCTCAACACAGGGCCAATGGTCACCACTTTCTTCAGCTGACGTCTGTGACCTTGAGCTGACCTAGGATGATAAACAGCTGACAATTTAGGCCATTTGGAGCTCACTTGACAGCTGAAGAGCGTGATTTAAAATATAAATATTTGTCAGGCACTGACAAAAGATATTATTCACCAGTCATTTTTTAAGCACATTCTGTCATAAATTAGCTGACTCCCTCTGGTCTTCCACACGGCAGAAAATGTAAGTGCAAATTATGCCGTCTTGAAGTGAGCCAAACGCTTATGATACACATGATCGTTTCTCTCAGATCACAACGGAAACTGCGAGAAAACAAGAGAGAGTCGGACTCTACAAATGAATGAATTTGTAAGAAAAATAGCTGTATTTTTTCCTGTGGAAATGTTGACTTTGAAAACATTGGCCATCAACTTTAAAATTGCCCCCAAAGCTGAAAATGTGTGAATTGACAAAACAGGCAATCTGGCTGTTTTTGCCCAAGTTTGTTCATGATTGAGAGAGATTCGATGCGAAAATGCACTGATATATACTTTTGAAAGCGAGGTCTCGATCAGTGTATTAATTTTGATTTTTAACTTAACGCTAGTCCCACTGTTCCCTCCAAGAAAATATATTTGTCAATTTTTCAATAATCATATTATTCGTCATTGCTTTAAAAATAAAGAGAGTCGGACCGTAATTCTTTCAAAATGACTGATCGTGCTCAATATCTATCGGAATATATCAACAGATTGGCCAGACTCATTGGCTAAATATGTTTAAATTGCATTTTTCTTACTTTCTGCAGATTTTCCTGCAAAATTTTACTGTAGTTTAAGCTGCGTTTCCTGCAGATTGTGTTCACAGACCAATGGGAGACAAGTATTTCTTCATCAACAGGTTTATTCGCCATCAATTGGTCTAGCGGGTGTTTTTCGTATGCGCAGCTTATGTCACAGCTGCGTAAGAACACGTTCGCTTTAAATCATTATGGGTATTTCTTTTCGGAATATCAAAGGTAAATGTTGATTGTTTCATAAGATTTGTGGTGGCGCCGGTGGCGGGATTATCGTCATTAGCTAATTACTTGATATATTTTAATGGGGAGTGGTGTAATGCCCGCACGACTGTTGACTTTCATTGTAATTGCTTGAGCTGGTTCCTGGGCCGCCTCAGATAGCAGGATTGTGTGTCAAGTAGGTATCATGGCCTGACAGGAAGGTGGGTTCCCAGACCCCTAGCTCAATATTAATCTCAGATGAAGCCCGTATATATGTCTTAGAGCTTGTTCAAGTTTTAACCTCACCTACATATAACCTAACATAACCTGAAATAACCAGACATGCTAGAACCCTTATTTTGGTCAAATGCTGATGAGCAGAAAAATATTTACTTTTTGACGATTTGCCATGCCTACCTATTGCTATGTCTGGATGAGGGTTTCTCGGTTACTGTGTAGATAAACTATGGTGAAGATAAAAAATATCATCTACCCTAGCCTAACCTTTGCGTAGGTACTAAACTACCACTTTTGGTAAATGTTCAGAAAGTGATTCACTTTTCAGGCATACATTTTGTACATTCTTGCACTATTTGACATCCTGAATCCAGATATGATATTTACATGTGATACAAATA